CTATATAGCTTTTTTTTATACATATCATTTGTTATGTTGCAAAAGTTCAACATTAACTTCAACAAGTTTATTTCATTTTAAATTTTAGTTTAATTTATTTATTTTTTGTTTTATAATAATTCCTAAACCAATTTTTTCTTCGGCTCTATGACCGACTTTTGTCCACCCCAATGTATGTATAGTAAGTTTTTTTTATGCATTCGATTGTATATAAGTATTTATATGTATGCGTTTCTTTAGTAGTGACTACATAATGTTCCAATATGCTTCAGCTTGAGTTTAATGTATTTTCGTTTGCGTGTATGTATCAAAAAAGCAATCTATTTAAGCCCATATACCCCAGCTTTCGGATTTCTGTATATAAACAATACTGCAGGGCCATTTTACAGTGCATTAGCGAACGCCATATGTACCTATTTTAAGTGCTCGCCTAGCGGGGGGGCTGCTACGCAATCCTATCGCTTCAAAAAATTGCTGAGTCTGTCTTCGATCGAAATCGTATATTGCATGATTTTTGGGAAAACTCCAAAGTATTCAACGAAAACCACCATATAGAAAACAATCTTTATTTGATTTTTCGATTCAATACATTCAAAAAAGCATGCGAATTTCCGCTTTCTTAATAAACTATATATATATATATATATATATATATATATATATATATATATACCGACCGACAAAACTTATCGATGCCTGGTGTAATTTATCTTAAAACATTACCCGCTCATGAGCCTATATTATGGAGAGCTTTAATCATAAAAATTTATGATTTTACGCAATTTAAAATTATGCCTTTATTGTGACAAAATTTCTACAGATCAACGTAGCAATTTTTATGGAGCTTTCGTCCTTCCCGTGAGGAGAAATGTTTAATTATATCTTTATAATTGTGTGAAGATACAAAGCTTTTGCTAAAGAAGAGCTGTTTAAAACGAGTAATGCCCAAAACTTATGTATTTAGCTGCTTGAAATTGATATAAAAGCTATCTTAGAGCGAGCTTTTGTTAATCTACTTACATATATATATAAAATTTGTGGAAACTTCAAAAGCGACTCTATTAGCCACGAACAGAAAGAGCTTTTATTTTGTGCGGGCTCATTTCAAATCTACAGAAAAGCCTTGAAAATCTATTCATGTGGGATATACTTATTTCGATCGTGAATCCAGTAATGACCAAAACATAACCTGCGTGCACGGCTATTTAAAGCTTTTTGTTTGCAATATGAATATCAGTCACTACCTGCGAGCAAAGCTTCTAAGACGGCTTTATATGGTTTTATATCAGTATTGGGCAGAGGGAGCTTTTACCTTAGGAAAGTCTATATGACATTTATAGAAAGCGGGGAAATGCTTTGCAAAATCCAATAATAAAGACCAATCAGTAAAAAAATTTCTCGGGACATAAGCTTTTTAAACCCTAACAGAGTAAAAGCTGTCTTTAATCGCCACTTTCATATGTAGACTTACAGTCGCTGACTCTACTAAAACTGTTTTCATTTTACTATCTCATTTAATTTTACTTAGCCTTTCCATGCATATAAACTATGTGTTATTTCACTCCAAGAAGCTTTGTAATTTCTTCCACCGTTGCTGTGAATTTCTCTCTCTCTCTCTTTCTCTCTCGTAATGACTTATTCTCAATGAAAGCAATTGTTGATCTGTTCCAGCTATATGTTATGTACTTTTCCATCTTGGAGCAAACGAATTAAAGCGCTCCTCTCTCTTTTTCGGTAGTGGGTAGCACCTTGTTTGAGCGCAGAGCCTTTTAAAGTTTTATAAATATTTTGTATGGACAGAAATACGCAAGATAAAAGCGCCCCCTTATCGTCTCTGATCTAGTTTATGCTCTTCTGCTTCTCCCTCACTAATTATTTATCCATAATTTGCTCGTTTTTACCTCTCTATTGTTGTCTGTCTCTCCCTCGCTTTTTCTCTCCTCCGCCTGCCAACAGCCCTGCCTTTGTCAAAACTATAGCTTTTCGCAATTTGTTTTTGTTTGTATATCTTGACTTTGTTTTTGTTTTGTGTTTTTTTAATTGATATTGTGGAACTTTAAGGCTTGTAATCTCAACGTTTTTTGGAACTTTTATGTTTATTACAAACTGTGTGAGAAAAATATTTCCCATATTTTCATTTCTTTCATTCTATTTCTCCATCATCATTTACTTTTTAATATTCTTCGCTGTTCAGCTCAAATTAACTCTGGCTAATATATGTATTTTATATTCACTACTTGCTTCGCATTTTTTTAAACTATTTGTATTTGGTAATAAATTTTTAATAATTATTATTTACTTATTTAGTTCTTATGGCGCCTGCTGGCTGCACGTCGTACTATGTTTGTTGTTTGTTTACTAAGTTTTTGTTGTTCTCTAATTTTAATAAATTCCCATTATGATTCTTTTTTTTTACTAATAATGTAATTTTTATGCATCTATTATGTTTTGTATGCGATAATTTGCATTATTTCAATGAAGTATATAGTTAATATTTTTTTTTTTGATTTTTCAATTTTAAATTTTGTATAAAAATTATTATTTTTTGTTTTTTTTTTCTTCTTTTAATTTTAATTACTTCAGTTGTTCGCAACTTGCTCTAATTGTTATTGATGTATGCATTCTCGTCTATATATTTGTTTTTGTATTTGAAAACCCAGAACAGTTTGCTGTTTTTTTCATGTTTTGGTCGCATTTTCCAGTCAGCTTTTGTTGTTGGTATTGTTTACGTGTGTGATAATATTAATTGTAGTGGTAGTTAATTAGTTAATGGATTAATTAATTTATTCAACTATTGTTGCAGTTATCATGTATGTATGTATGTGTTAATTTATATCTATGTATGCAAAGTGTTTGTAATTGAATGGAATATCAAACTTTAAAGTGTGATTGTGTGCCTAAAAAATTCTGAATAAATCTTCAAATATACATATCTTTTTGAAAATTTAAAGAAATCTGCTGATAATAAGAGTCAAATTTACTTCTTTTTATTTTCATATACATAAGTACGTTTTGTTTTCTTTTTTTTTTGCCTCGCGATAAAGTTATTTAGTAAATATATTTATCATATATATATATGTGTGTATAATGTATATGCGTGTGTTTGTATATATATCTACGATATTATTTTTGTTGTATGTTTAATTTTATTTTTGGTTTGGCAAAAATTGTTCAACTCCTCTCTGACATCCAATTTATTTTCTACACGTACGCGCATTTTCGTTAGCGGTATTTCAGTTCTAAATTTTTTTTTCATAATATATGTATGTATGTATATTTTTTTGGGATTTTTCTTTAACACATACTAAATGTATACGTATGCTTTTTTTGTAATAAATCTTGTATTATACACTTAATCGGCGTGTTATTTTTTCATTGACGTTTGACGAAAAAAAAAATGAATTCCACTTTATTACTTATTTGCTTGTGTGTGCGTGGATGTGTTTTGTAATCAATTGTTTAGCAGAGGTTTTGGTGAAATCTTGTGTTTGGATACGGATCGGTCGGCTGATAAGTCGATAGGAAGCTGGATTTACATCATCGGGCAAGACTCTTTTATTTAGCTTGGTTGTATGCTTTCGCTGGTAAACTGTGTTTCTGACCTAAAAGAGTGAATAATTTGTTAAAAAATATTTGTAAATAAAATTTAAGCTTTCAAGCTCAAGTTCTTAATTATTTATGTAGGCGTACGTGTAAGGTACAAGTAAACTACTTGTATACATGTATTTATTTTAAGAAAAATAGAGCTTTTACTTACCAACTTTCATAGCACAAAAAGTTGGTGAGCGAAAGCGCTGGTTGATGCGAAAATCGTATGAAAGCTCTTTTTTAATGTTTTTATTTTACTTAATAAACAAGTTTCATTTATACCGCGTGGGAAATCGCAAGCTGTTTTCAATGATGTGCGAAAGCTCTTTTCCTAGTGTTATTAGTTCACTTGCGTTTAGACCCTTCAGCAAAGTTGGTTACTTTACAAATACTGCTTCTGAGCTGTTTTAAGCTTCCTATGTATTTTATATGAACTACCACTGAAAAAGCTCTCTTAGGCCAGCACTGCCTTGTAGGCCAGCAGTTTTAAAAATTCAGGCATGAAAGTTCGTTGATACCCGTTGCATCCGCATGCCGATTTCGAAAAGCTCTTAACTTGATAAAATTTTATGCGATGTGGGGACCTAAAGCTTTACATAGCCTTCGAGCGACATATGATTTTTCATGACAGCCAATATATAAAAAAATGTATAAGTTTGTCTTAGCTTTTTTAAAGAAGCTCTAAGGAGCTCAGATACATACTTACATATCTGAATCTTTGGGTGCTCGAAAATAAATGCGACCATTTCCTGATTCAAGTGCGAGAGCTATACACAGAAGCTAAAATTTTGGCAATAAAAATATTGCAGTGCTGTGATATGATGATTTTTTTGCATTTTGTGAAGTCCAAAATGTAGCACGACTGCAGCGCTTTTATAAGCTTTCTATAGAATTCATCCGTCACGACGAAAACGTATACCGCGAGAGAAGTTTTTAAAGCTTTCTATAGACTGTATTGCTTAAGCACTGATATTCTATTAAAAGCTTTACAAATTTTATTTTGCGGTTTAAAACTTTTTGTATTACTATTCCTTACTTTCTTTACTCACCTCATTTATGTTTTGTTATTCGGCTGTTTACTGTGGGATTTTACTAGGATATTCATTATTGTAAACTTGCACTTGTTTTTTTTTTGCTGAGACTACATTACTGGTATTTTTTACTCCGATTGCTGCTGCTGCTGCTTCTGGGTATTTCTACTGCTGACTGTTGTTGAATTTAGAGTTTTGCCTGCTGCGCTTTGATCTAGTTTTGTTTCAATTTTTTTGTTCTATTTTGTAATAGGGTTTTTTTTGGTTGTATATATATCTTTTTTGTTGTTGCTTTTGGAATTACTGTTTCATCATTATTTTCGCAAGAAGTAATCGCTTGTAATTGTTAATGTTGTGTAACGCTTTAAGGAACTCCGATTGTTAATAGGGTCGGCTGGCATCCTTTGGCCGCTTTAGTTGAACTTTCAGTCTTTTCATGCCAATCTGGAAGCCATTCATTGCCTGAATGGCGGCTTGAGCGCTGGCAGGATTATCGAATGAAACAAAACCTGTAAACAAGTTCAAATTTGAAATATTGGTACTCATAAGGAGATTGAATACATAAATAATACGCAATAAAGTTATTAGTGTGTGTGTGTGTGGATACAGAGTGTACTTGCGTTACTTACCAAAACATTTACTCTGATTTGTAGCACGATCAATGAAGACCTTTGAACTGATCACATTACCAAATGGCAGGAACATCTGCATCAACTCCGCATCGCCGAACTCTTGCGGCAAATGATATATGAATAGATTACAACCCTCCGGTCCGGAAATCGAACATCCTGGGAACATCAGAAAATCTTAAAGAAGACATTTCAAGAAAAGAAAAGAAAGAAGGAAATAAACGATGAGAAAATCAAAAGTGAAAAATCTATGAATTTGTGATTTGTGATGCTGCGACTTCAAAGGAAAACTAAACGGAACGGACGTAAGGAACGTAAAATTGAATTTAACTAAAATTCTTAAAAATCGAATAACTGTAATATGTACCTGTTAAAAGTACGTACATATACCGAAAATATGAAAATACGATTTGCTTAGAGAAAAATATATGTAGTACAAAATTAAATAAGATAAGAGATAAGTTTGTACATAGAAATACTCGAAACTTAAGTAATAAAATTATATTATAGAAGGTATTATTCTATCAAAGCATAAAAACTAAGCTGTGAGTAGTCAGTAAAGTTTGTTTTCTAAGTGTGCTCTTGAACAAACAAATGTTTTAGAATTACAAAAGTTTCTTAAAAAGCAAAATTTAAAGTGGTTAACTACTGTAAGCTCACTTTGGTAAAAGATTTACTTTCTGAGTAATGAAAGCTCTCTTGCAAAAGCTTACACATACAAATGGTTAAAAAATTGCACTTTCCAAAAAGCTTAAAACATGCTTTCATTTGAATATCGCTTGGCAGTAAAGTTATCGTAGAAAATTTTTGTGAAAGCTCCATTGTATAGATAAATTAAGATTCATAAACTAAGGTAGATGTGCTTTAATTATTTGATTATATTGAAAATGGGTACAAACTCTGCTTCATAATGATTGGCATACTTTTAACAGAGCTTCATTAACTAAATCAAATAAAAATGTTTAAAAAAGAGTCTAAATACTTGATTTAAGTAAGGCTTTTCCTACAAATCCGGAAATATTTAATATTAAAAGTCGTAAACGAGGATGGACAGCTACAAAAAAGTTGATAAAACTGCTAAGCTTTTAACTACTTCCTGGTGCAAAAATTACTTGGATTTATTTCTTATAGAAAAAGAGAGATCTTTAAACTTAAAACTTTTTTCAATATTTTAATTGTACTAAAGTTTAAGTGCATGAATTTCGCTCTGCAAACGGAGAGTTCTGCCTGGAAGATTTTTCATGGTTGATTTGCACACAAAAGGTGGCACTGTAAGAGACAAAATTGTGAATATAATATATTCCATATATTATTTATTATTGTGGCGCCCACAACATAGACAGCGATCAGTGCGGTTTGAGCTTTCTAAATATTTAATAAAAAGTAAATGAGCCATTCTTTTTTAAGTCGGACGGATTTTGTAAAAAAAATTATGTCATGGCTCCGATTCGCTTCAAAATTTTTTTTATGGGTTCTATACATGAAATAAGCAAACACGTGTTCGAGGAATTTTTTTAATTTTTTTTTCTTCGGAGATATGATCTGTCAAAGTTTGCATTTTTTCGTGATTCTGGCTAATCATGTACTTTTTCAAATCGTTATATCTCGGGTTCTGCTCGTCGTAGAGACTTCATCTTAACGTCGTTTTAAAGCTAAAGAAACGGGCTTAACATATGTATATATAAAAAGGTCAATATTAACAGCTGAACTTTTTGAAGTTGATTTGTATAGTGAAGACCAGTAAATTAGGGATTTAAAATTATGCCATCGTAATCCTTGTTTGATTCTCTATAAAAAACGTGGTTCAAAAAAATGGGGGTTTTCTAAGGAACTATTTTATAAAATTTTCTTTATGACGAGATAGTTTATTTTGTGAGAATCAAAAATTTAAGTGAGGTGTTTAACATTGGTTTTTGCAAAAAGTTAAATTTCATTGCGGATTCCGATAGAATACCTATAAATATAATACTAGTATGACAAGATTTTTCTGTAAGGTGACAAACCTATATAAAATAAAGTCTAAATTTATGACCTTTGGTCTTAACATAGCCATCCCCGTTTCTATAATATTCTTGAATTGAAAAACTTGTGGAACAATCCGCAATAAAATCTGCGTTTTTCTATCTTTAGTCCTGCAATTGCCACGCCCATTTCTAGGGGTTTGTCACCTTACAGAAAAATCTTGCCATACAAATATTATTTCTGGATAGGTATTCTATCGGAATCCGCAATAAAGTTTCACTTTTTCCAAAAACCCGATATTAAACACCTTACTAAATATATCTCATCATAAGTTTTCGAAAATAAATTACAAAAAAATTGTTGAATACGTGTTAGCTTATTTCATGTATAGAAACCATAAAAAAATTTTAAGCCATTCGAAAGTGTGACACCAAATTTGGTGTCCAATATGAAAAAGAATGTCTCAAATGCGTACAAACGAAAACGTCTACCTGGTCGTCCCTGAACTAGAACTGCCATAGAAAATGATTCTTTGATCTATGTAGACAAGAGCGGGGGGTGAAATAAAACAAACGGAAATATTGCGAAATTTGCTTTATTTCACTTTTAAATGGGAAATCTGAGTTTTGCTTTATTTCCAACAAAGATTGGAAATAAAACAAATTTTGCCTTATTTCCCATTGCTTTTTCATACTATTTGTAACAAAAATAGTTTACTAACAGAAGGAAAAAGAACTTTGTTTATTACAAAAATACAACTAAATAAAAAATGTGATATTATTCACATTAAAAAATTAATTCATAAAATATTTTTACTTATGAAAAGTCTAACAAAATATAGGGAAAGCGTCGATTTTAATAACTGCTCGGCAAATTGGATATAGCGCTTTTGAACGAATGTTTTCTACATGCCTTTTAATACATATGTTGAAAACATTGCTTGAATACCTTAAAATGTTTGCATGGAACCATGACGCAATAAACAGGTGAAGTAATAAAACAGCTTTCTCGCTTTATTGTCTGACATTCGGCTGCCTTATAGTCAAATTTTAAAGGCAATTTTTCAAATAAGGCAGTGACAAAATGTTTTTTCTCGCTCTAATTACTTCACCTGGTATAATTCCACCATGGCATGGAACAAACAAAAGTTGCAGTTCCTGTTCGCAGCATATAAGACAGAGAATATTTTTTTGAGTTTAAGTCAGTTAACTGCCTTTCCTAAATGGGCGCGTCAAGTGCCAAGCAAAAAAAAATGCTAATTAAAAAAACAGATAAAAAATTCCGCTGACAGAGGCTCCAACTCGGATCTCTCGAAAGGCACGCCTGTGCTTTTTTCACGCGGCCATTGCGACTATTGGATTGACGTGAGCTAAATTAATATATAAGTGCTTTCTCCCAAAACAGATTTTCGCCACCAGTGGTGAATGAGAGAGCTATTTTTCTAAGACTTTTGTGCTAGAATAACAAAAGGCTTTCGAACTATCTTGTCAACTGTCTTTCATTTGTATTACGAAACACTTTTAAATATCTTAGACAGAATTGCTCTGTTACAGCATAGGCTTAAAGCTCTCCCGGAGTAGCACCGCTACACGGCCTAAGTCTTACCGACTAACCTTTCATTAAATTTATTTATTTTTATTGCAATTGATTTGATTCTGAACTTATGAGAATTAGGGCCAATTTCATAATGAAACACTTAAAGTTCCTTTTGCAAAAGTTTCCTTTTGGTTAAAGTTTCATTTAAATGTACTTTAAACAAGAAGTGCTTTCATAATACAATGGCAATTGAATAATAACAAAAGGTTTATTTAAACGAAAATAGCAAAGCCTCTCATTATTGAATGGGCACCCCTGCCAATTGGGTAACTTTCCGAAGAAACCCAAGAGTCAAGGAATAAGGATATTAAAAAATATCGGCTGCTTGTGTCCTCGGCCCCTGTCATTTCAAGTTTACGTTTAAACCCACCAAAAAAAAAATCATAAACTGTCGTCAGATGCCATTAAATTATTATCAACTGTTGTAAATGCGGATGCGGAATTGCCATCAGAAAATATAGATATGAGCTTGGATACTTCAGATGACAGCGAGTCTGATGGGGTATAAAATTGTTATCTTAAAAATATATTCCTGTACCAACAAATATGTATGTCTTGTTTATTGATTCATTCAAAATCCCGCAGTTCCCGTGTAAATTTGAACATCAAGATTTTTAGAAACAAACTAACAGCCAGTTTCACCAGATTCATTTAAGTTTGATTTTCGAATTTTTGGTTTCACCAATCCATTTTAATTTGTAAGTTGCGTACGTCAGACGGCGCATAACTCAAGAATGGATGGTCCCCGTAGAGCTATTTTTTTATTGTTTGTCTGCCTTGTAAATTCTTTGCGGTACCATTTACATTAGATAGATATGAATAAGCTATTTGTTTGTGGAATTTTGATTAAAAAACGCCAAATAAAAACATTTGGAGCTTACGTTTCTTTCGCGTTTATGGCTCGATTGCTTCGAATATGATAATTCGAGTTCTTTGATATTGCACTTTTAGTGTTCTGGGGAGATTATGCCGGCGTCAGAATATTAAACGTTGGCTTACACCAAGGTGTATTTAACATGGCGATGTTGGGGCGACAGCTGAGTTTTCCGCGGCGGGGGCATTACGTCAAAATGATGTGTTTGTTGTAACTCATACTAATGACAGTATGGATATCTGCATATAATTCGTTAGTGTAAATTTACTTATTTACTTATATAAGTATACGGCTAACACCACCTTGTTAAATACGCCTTGGCAGGGAACGTGATCTACATCGTCAAATGAGAAGTGCCGTAAGTGCGCAATTATATCGCGCCATTGACTAAACCTGTCGTGTTTTACGATTGGCCCCATGGAAGCGGTTTGCTAATATTATATTGCGTCAAAGTCTCATTCGGAGACACCAGCAGCCGGATTCCAGCATTCGCTATCGCTAATTTTGATCGCTAAAGGTCTCCAAAAGAATAGCAGGCATGCTTAACAACATGCAACGATTAGTTACATGCCCCTCATACTGCCAGATTTGCGTGATTACACTTTCCTTCTGTTACTTTTCCATATTGCGTACTTTTAGGCCCCACGGATTTTAATTTAGAGAATTTTAGCGATGGAAATTTAGCGTAGCGATTGTCAGAATTCCACTGCAGGATACCTAAATATCTTCGTTGACTCATTTACAAGAACCATTGCGCGCTTTACTTTACAGAGCCTTGGCAGAATCAATAGGTCTCCACGAATATCGACAAATACATTTCGGCATTTAAGGGAATTTTGTCTCTTTAGCCTACATTGAATTTCTGTAGTCCAACCATTTTGTCTTGTTGTCGCCAGCGAATGAAGAACAAACATTTCTTCAAATTTAAAAATTTTAATATTCACTACTAAAAATTAAAAAATATTCTTAAAACCTGCAAAGGAATTTGGAAAAGAAATATCACTGTTTTTGTTTTTGGGAGTAGGGTGGGAGTGTCATTGATAAAATTAGAACGAGAGAAAGTTTTTCTTACAAAACCTTTCATTATTGAATCATGGTCGAACTCCTTCTAAACGGCTCGACCGATCTTTATGAAATTTTTTGTGTATATATGGTAGGTATGAGAATCGGATGTAAAGTATATTTCATACCGCTAGGTGTAGGCTGCATATCTCTGGATGTGTTTATGGAAGAGTACTGGAACTTGGTATGTACAAGATATATAAAATCAGTCGCGTGGTCATGAAGAAAAATTGGGGCTATTGGAAAAAGCGGCGTGGCACCTCCCATAGTAGATTACTCGAAAATGGTATGGAGACATATGAAATCAATCCCATACTCTTAAAGAAAATTTGGCGCTATTTGAAAAGGGGGCGTGGCGCTTTTCAAGCGCACTGAAAATATTGCGTTTCTTTGTACACATGTACAGTTTTGCTAGGTTATTTAAGACGGTAACCGTAATATTAGAAAATAAATGCGTCACTGAAAATCATGAACGTGAACTGTTGGTGAAAATGTTAAACCAAAATGTTTTAATACAAAAAATTTACTTTGGGCGGAACGAAGTTCGCCGGGTCTGCTAGTGTAAATATACAAATGTATAAATGTAGACGCATAATAAAACTAATGTATGCATGCAGATGCAAGGAGCTATACATCATGCGTTATCACAAAGAAGTTTATGCTTCCCTAGAATCCGAAATAAAGCAACATCCTACTTACTTTCTTAAAGGACTAACTGCATATAATGTATCATGTTAAAAATAATGCTAAATTGCTGGTGTGCCTTACATTTATAGCAACTTAAATCAAACTCTTTTAATACGAACAATCATGTAAGTATATTTACCTCGTGCGTTACAACTTACTTTTTAATGAAATAAAAATTCCTTAAAAAATATTAAAATTTCCAAAATAATTATTTGATTAGGTGGCAGTGCTACCTCAACAATTTACGAAAAGTAGAAACGTCAGAAAGCACAGTTTATGTCAAAAAATTTAAAAGTGAAACTACCTTCTTTTTTTGTATCATGGTTAATATACTACGAAAATGACATAATTTTTTTTTCTTACAAAAGGGACCTTTGTTTCATTTAAATTGCCATTTTGGGTATTTAACTAATGTGCCTTTATGGGCATCTTTATCTTTAAAGTGGCTTTATGAAATCGATCAGCAAAATTAAGGATCCTTTAAATTTTAAAACATTCTTTAATTTTATTATGAAATCCGCCCTTAATCTTTAATATAATAATAATATTTTTGGCGCTTAAACTTTTGCTAAGAGTTTGTTCGAGCTTCTCCTCGAATTTGTAATGTGCGTCCTGATGTTATAACACACATAGAGGCAACTGCAGTTTTACGCCGTCTCCAAACGGCAAATGGATTTTATGACAATCTTTTTCACGGCAGAAATGGATTCGTAGGTTCGCCATTGCCAGCCAACTAGAAAAACTTTTCCTAATTTAGATTCTGCTAATTTCTACAGTATTAAGTATTCATATAGTTAAATATGTATGTGGTGATGCAAACATATATATAATTCAGCAACTATTAAGGGTATGCTTAGTGTAATGTAAGCGTGGAAACAAAAACTAACTTCAGACTATGTACAACCTTCAGCTAATAGCAAATCATGCAAAAAAAAAGAAAAAAAAACAGAACAGAAAAACTACATATGTATGTACATACATATGCTACAATAAAATGCCATAAAATATTTACAATAAATTTTGTGAGTAGGTTCTCAAAATGCTTTTAACATTTTCCAAAGGACATTACTATATTTTAAGCTACTCAGTTACCATCTATTCCTTTACAAATTCAATATTTCATATTTGTATGCATTTGAGCATATCTGCTGGTTATTGTCAACTGCTCAATACTACAATGGGGAATTAAGTGAGATGCTTAAAAATACAGCAGCATATTTATGTTCGAATGTAGTAGATACATCTAGTAAGAGAAGGAACTGTATTTTCAACACATGCTTTTTTGAAAAGGTAACAAGAAAGCAACAAAAAAGTACATAAAACATCTAAACTATTTACAGCTGCTTGTGTATTTAAGGAAATAGCAGAAATTTGTTACGAGTATGACCATTTTTACATATATGTATGTACAATTGTGTGATTGTATGCAAGTGAATATATACATACGTATGCAGTATGACTATTAGTTATAAATGAAAGCTTAATATGACAGATGGGATGCATGCTCCTTTGCTAGGCAATGACTGGAAATAACAAAGGGCAGAGGTATGTATGTACATTATTGTATTCGTATGTATGTATATGTATTTGCATGTACAACGCTAGATCTGTAAACTTTTTAAGAAATAAGTTATACTTGACTAGATATTTAATAATAGGTCCATTCTTTTGCAACCGAGCTACAAAAGAACACTCGCTTAAATGACGAAATACACGCAAAGCAAAAACACAAACTCGGCTATTTATCCGAGTTCAGCCAGGTCGGTTAAAAAATACGCGACCTGAAGAGTAGTGTTGTTAAGTGAAAAAACTGCTCTATTGTGAATTGTTAATGGGAAAGTGGAGGGAAATTTTTGTTTTCGTATACACATGATTTATATTTTAAATAAGTGGAGGGAAATTTTTGTTTCCGTATACACATGATTTATATTCCAACTAAGTATATATATTACGCAAATACCTCGCATAATTACTAATTTATATTGTTTTTTGTGTCTAAATCCCGTTAAACTAATCACATGTTTTTTGTCAGCTACCAGCAGGGTTGCTTTAGTAGCTAAAAGGAAATTTTACCCGAGTTGAGCGTTCTTATGTCGCTCGCTTATAAAAAAATACAGCTAATATATACAACTACAAAAAGAGGCAGTTAGTTGATACAATTTATTTTTATTTTTATAAGCTTTTATTTAACTTGTTGTATTGTAAATTTGCATATTGCCGAAAACGGATAACTTATTTCCGATACTATTATATAAACACACTGAGCAATGTACTTAAAACTCATTGCATTAAAATGATCTTGAGATCTCTATTTCGCTTTAAATTCGAGTAATATTCTGTTGGCCTTATTCGCAAACTCTTTATCTCTCATGAATTTGGGTGTATATATTTAGCTTCTTCTGATAATTCTACAGGTAGAGTTTCAAGAAATTTTTCATAAATTTGGCTTGGCCTTCAAGGACAAGGCTTCTGCAAAAATAAGGTGCACGTATCTGGCCGAAAAATTTTAGTTAGGTTAGATTAGGATCGCTAGAAGATATAAGATGCCGCCTGAAAAATAAAGAGGCCCCGGAATTTTACCAGTGCTGAGAAACTCTCAAAAGGGTTTATTATTGAACGTATTATATAGCATATTCTTTCAGCTAGCTAAGTAGTTTTTAGTTGCAATAAGACTACTAACACCAAACGCCTAAATGCATGCTATGCATTTGCTGCATGTGAAAAAATTTCCTTTATCAAATTTTTGCGTATGCACTTCTCAAGTGTTATATAACAAAAGTCTCTAAAGTAATACATACAAAAATGTTGGTCCCCCTCTCACTGAATTATTCAATATTTATGGTAGCAAAACTCGCTACATAGTGGGCTAAGCAATTTCGAGGTCCCATGATTGCTTTCTCCTCGTTTAGAGTTTTTTCGGGACTTTTTGAGTTTCACTCGGGATTTTCCCGGGAATACTCGGGATTTATTTGGGAATCTGCGCTTTGATTTTTCGAGAATGATCGACCACTTCTTGTTTTTTGGAAACTTTTTCGGGGGTTTTCATACATTTTCGGTATCTTCTCGAATTTCACAGGGAGATTTCTCTTAATTGACGGATTTTCGGTATTTTTTAGGACTTTTCGGTATTTTTCGAGGGAATTTCGGAACCTTTGGAACCTTTTCGTGATTTTTTCAGAAATTTCGCAGCTTCGTTCGGGAAACTTCAGAACATTTCGGGATTTTTGTGAACTTAAAGGTCCGAAAAACCATTTAAATCTTATTAACTTGCTATTTTCTTGCTATTTTCTTTGCTGCAAGCTTTCTAAATATATATAAAATCGGACCATAAATATGAGTTTCCAAATCTCTCGACAAGTTTAAATTTTTCTTTATAGGTAACTATTAGCTCACTTATCTTGGCCCAAAAACATAAAAAAATATGTATGTTTGAAGTATATAATATGCGTATAAAATGTTTGTTGTTATGTTTTCTTCACAAGTAATGTTCAATAGATATACATACATTATTATATTTACATTATTATATTAAAATCATTAATCCTCAACGGCAAAGCTCACAAATTACAAATAGCAATCAGATTTATAATTATAATGAAACTGTTGGAATTAATCATGTTGAAAATTAAATAAGTAAATTAAGGAATAAATGAATCAAACAAAAACAATTACAGAAACCACATATGTACAAGTACTACATACGAACTATGCCTTATCTTTGTTTATTTGTTTATGCTTTAATTATTTAAACCAATACATTATTCAGTATATCAAACAAAAAATATTTCTACTAATAGTTACTAAAAAAAATAAATCAAGAAATAAGTTATGAAAGAATATGTACACTAAACACAAATTAAAACGGAAACAAAAACATCGATAAAAACACAATTACATTTAAAAATTGCTTACCTTCGCGTTGAGTGGGTGCAACCGCCGCTAGAGGTGGTGGTAAAGCTTGTGGAAATTGTCCATAAACGGCGGGAAAGGCTGCATTATATAAATAATTGTTGTTGTTGGTTTTGGTAGTTGTTTTTTGTTTTTTTGTTTTTTTTTTCAGTTTTGTACACATATATAAATATATATAATATTAATCGAAACATTTATGAGACAACACAACGTTTATAATTTATGTATACGTAAATATGTAATTTTAAGGCCAAAAGAAAAAAAAAAAACAAACAAATGAAACAGAAAAATGGAAAGAGTAGAGAAACACATTAAAATCACACAATATAAAATCAAAGTTTATTATATTGAACAATATTTATATACGTCTTTGCAAATATATAAATATTAACAAATATTGATGTACATATTTAGATACTCAGGAACATAAAAAAATTATAATTTTTGTAGTAAATTTTTTTTTTATTGTTTAATATTAAATAGTTAGTAGTGTTTGAGAAGTATGTTATGTTAATAGGTGAGTTGAAAAAATAGCAGCGACAGATTGCTCCAGTCACACTTTAATATACTATGGGAGAGTTTAAAGCTTTCCTCAGTCGTATACGGAAATTGCAAACTTCAGAAGGTCGCTTACAGCAGTAATTTCGTAGCCTAGATTTTGAAGAAAGGGCCAGGGACTGGGTTGGGTTGACCAAATCAACGTACAAGGCAGACCCTTTTTTAAGCTTTCATGCAAAATTAAAGTTTTCTAGGGAGCCATTAAAGCTCTATCCAAAATCTTTTTACTTTAGTCACGCACAATTTGCCTAAAACAAGCTTTAGAGACTTCATCTCCATACTTCAGTAATGTTCAGCGGCTTGCCCACGCATCACTTTTTTGAACTTTTTATACATATATTCGGTATGGGCATGCAAAGGTAAAATATCTCTCTATGCCCATACCTATTACATAACATAATTTGAGGTTTGTTGCTTCCCTTCATTTTTTGTTTTTTTTTCAGATAGTTCTAAAAAAATTTACCCAAAGAAACGATTTTTTTTGCAGAAGTTCAAAAAGTTTACTGTAGTAAGTGAAATTCCTCTGTAGTGAAAAAGAAAGCAGATTACTGAATAAAGCAAGTGAGCTTGCACCCTATTTCTGTCACGTTAATATGAACAGAAAGCTTTAAAAAGATTGAAAGACATGCCTAAAGGCTGAATTAGTGGTGCCACACCATATCCATAACGTACGCGCAGTTCTGTAAACGATTATTTATGCCACACTATAATGCCAGAGCCATAACCGTAGGTATCTATTTAATTAAAATTTTTCGCCATAACCGTAAGCTGCTGTGAAGTATTTTGCTACGTAGGAAGAGTGCTATTCTGAAGTTTGTCTGTGCGAAGTTTAAGAGTAAAAGCTTGATTTTACAGTGCTTCATCTAAGCGCAAAATATCAATTATTCACACTCATTCCTTATGCCTATTTATTGATAGTCTGATTTAGGAAAAAATAAATTATATACAGGAGCTTTCAATAATTTTCGCTTATTGTTGCATATTGTGTGTTCACGACTAATAGTAGGAGATCCGACAAGGGCACCACGACCTTCACGCAGTTGTTTAATGGATGAAATCTACTTTGTATGAAATTTAACGTGTTAGGAAATATTTCGCGAGTGGTTGGCTGAAAAAATCCTGGCAAAGATATTTTGAATTAAATATTCAAAAACTATTATTATTTTTTAATTTTGCACTCATTTGTTTAATGAGCAAATTACATATATAGCAATCGAAAGCATAAATCCTATAGATTGTGTTAAACAGATAAGTGAAAATTACTAGTATTACCTAACTGTTCATACCTGCCAACCCGATAGGTAGGCCAGGAAAAAAATAGACAACACAAGATTTTCACATTCTATAGGCTTAATACTTGCGATTGGTATATAACTTGTTCATTAGACAAATGAGTATAAAATTAAACAAGTAATTTTTAAGCAAAAAACAAAACCGACTTCAATTCAAACATACAAATTTAAGATTATCGTTAATTTCTTCATGATCCAATGACCGGAATTAAAATAAATTAGTATGGGATCACCTGTGAGGTAACACCTTCCCTTTAAAAAATGAATTATAGAAATCGGTTCACGTGGTCCAAAGTTATGCGAAAAATACATAATTAACACGTTAAATTCCTTACAAAATAGATTTCATCCACTAAACAGGTGGGTGAAGGTCGTGCCATTGTCGGATCTTAGACTATAAGAGCGAAGTCTTGATTTTTGCCGTGAAACAAAAGTCGTAAGAAAGCTTCAATTAAGCACAAAATCTAAGTCAAGAGTGCATGCTTGATTTTGGAAATGTGAAAGCACAAATTCGTATCCACTTAACTTTGTCGCTGTTATTTTTCCCTTAGTCTCAAAAAAATTGTTAAACCATTAAACATTTCACAGCAATACTGAATGGTTCTTTTCATTAGTTGGAACACAAATTTAACAATAATAAACAATTATAAATAACATATAGTTGGTAATTGGCAATAATGAACACGTCAAATATTTCTTTCGTGGAGTGAAAAAATTTAATGTAATAGCAATGTTTTTTTATACCGAGAGAGGTTTATGCGATTTTTTTTTAAATAAAAAAGGACTATTAAATGATCGGGATATCAATAAAAAAATATAAAAACGTTTCTAAAATATTTTCTTAAAGTTCAAAAATAGATGTTTTAACTGCTTTAAGATAACATCAAAAATCCGTATAAATGGAAAAGTTTCGAAAATCGTTAAAATTTCGCAAATTTTAAAAATTTTGAATAAAAATACTTTACTCTTTGCTACTACGAGCTTATTATGCCTGCAACGGCGTCTCTTAGCTAACTGTTTACTTTAAAAATGTTCGCTACAGAATAGTAAAAATAAATGTGTTTATATTCTACTGGAAAATGTGTAATTTTGTTGGACTTATATTTTTTTTTTTAACAAGAAAAGTAGGTGAATAAATTCTTCACAAGTAACTAATTTTGTTGTTTTATTTTTCTTATCCTCTTTCTTTACACTTTTCGCATTGAATTTTTTCACTTTCTTGTATTGGAAAAAAATTAACCCGTCAAACATAATAATCAACATTGAAAGAAAAACGCATAAATATACTTATAACAACAATATCATTTTAATAAATATTGCTTTGAGCTAACAATAAGTATATGTTCAGGAATTGTTTATGGCATGACACAACAATTAAATAACAATGAAATAGAGATCGAGAAATGAGTGTGATTGTCACAATTATATATGTAAGTAATTAATAAATGAAAACAAGAAAGTAAACTCACATTTTTTAAAATATGAAATAAAATCATAAAAACTGTAAGCAAAGACAAAAATAATAACAGCGATACGTGACGCATTGGAAAAAAAAAGAAAAATAAAACAAAATACAACAAAAAAAGATAACAGCTAAAAGAGTTGCAGTATAATTGATAATGGAGTGATGGACGAAAACTTAAATTAACTATGACATTTGGAATGGGCAAATCAGAAGAAGATTGCTTTACAAATAAACCTAAAATTATAGATATTCCCTAATAATTTCACTTTAGATTTTTAAGCTATTTTTTTATTCTATAAAAATTATAAAAAAATTAATAAATGCGTCTTAACTAAGGATAAGATAATCGCTTTTGTTTTACTCTTAACTGCTTAGGCGTTCTATAACAACTTAAAAGTTTCATAGTTAACGGTTTGAGCTGTTTTATTGTTATTGCTAAGTTGAACTTACCAACTCCTGGAAATGGTGGCATTCCAGTGAAGGCATGCTGTAAGGCGGCAGCATCACCATTTGGCAGACCTTGTGGTGGAATCGTTAAATGAAGTGGATCTGTGGTGAATATAGAAAATATGTCTATAGAAAATTATGATATGAGTTGTTAGGAAGAGAAATAGAGATGCTGTGTGTGTAAGGAATACATATACATATTAGTAAATAAAAATACATTAAATCCAATTCTGAAATTGAAATCACAGATAAAAAGCTCTTGACAAAACAGTCACAACCTTAACAAATGCCACAGAATAAGCTTTTGAAAGCTCTCTCTAAATCTAATACGGGCGCCATTGCTTTAACACAAAAGTTTTTGAAGTGTGACAAATTTTTTAAATTGGTCAAAATCTGAAAAAAGTTTTTAAAATTTGATAAACGCTGAATATAAAAAAACATATTTCAGTGGCACACTCGTGGAGAGTCTTCTGAATCATGGTAATAAAAAGACTGTATCAAAATCACACACTAACCAAATTTATCTCAAAGACTAGCGTTTTAAAGCTTTCTACATTTTTTATATGGACGCACCGACAGTAAAAGCTCTCTCTGAGCTTGATTGATTTTTTCTTAGCAAAGTAGAAAATGTAATTTAAGGCAGATATTAACCCATCGCTTTGAAAATTTGTTGACTTTAATAAATATTTACACAGTTTACTCATTTCCACATACACACACAGCTCTGTTTGTGCTATATCGTTTTTTTTCTTATTTTTTATGGTACTTACGTCCCGGGAATGCCGTCTGCGGAATGCCATTCGTAAAGACGCCATCAGCGGCGGCGGCAGCTGCTGCGGCCGCTGCAGCAGCCGGTTGTCCATTTGGCGTTTGAGCGCCCATATTGAAATTTGGCATGGTCGGTGAGGGCAGCGATGGCTGACCGGTGCCATTTAAGCCATGAGGTATTTGCGTTGCCAATGCGGCCATCGGATTCATATAAGAGCCGGGTGCAGTGGCAGCGGCGGCCATTAAAGCGGCTTGCTGTTGCTATAGTTGTGGAGATGAGAGAAGAAAAAGACCGAGAGAGGAAGAAAGAAAAAGAACAAAGACACACAGATACATTAAATACAGAAGAAAATGATGAATGCATATTCGAGGGTATGAGCTCAAAATGATGAGAAACGGAAATGCAAAAGTATACAAATGATGAAGTTGTGCGCATAAATAAGGCAAGCAATTGGTGGTGAATGCAGCGTTGAAGGTGAGAGGCGCGTAGATCGAGTACGCGCCACGGAAGCGGTTAGTACGTTAAGGAAGTGTGGTGCTGAGAGTGACGAAGGGGGGGGGGGGGGGGGGGCTGAGAGTTTAATGTAGTTGCAGTTAAATTGGTTTCGCTACAAAAGTAGCAATAAAAATGCGAAATTTACGAGGCGAACGCTGGCCAAAGGCGAGCGTGCAACAGACAGACCGACATGGCGAGCGTGGTGATAAAGTTGGGGAAAAACTTGGGTGTCAGGATCGCTGCGCTATGCTGCCGACCACCATCAACGCCAATGTCGCCGTTATTTAATGCACTTTACGTGCCGTTGATTTCTACTGAAGCTGATGCTGCTGCTGCTATTGCTGCTGCTAATGTTGTTTTCCTTGTTTTTGCGTCCATTATTCCACGGCTTTTAGCATTGTTTTCATTTGCGCTTCCACAGATTACATTTAAAATTTTTTGTACGTTTTTGTTTTTATTTTGCAATAAAACTTCAGCTTGTCTTTTGTTTTGGCATTTTATGTGGACAACAACAACAACAACAACAACAACAACAACAACAACAGTACTTACAAAATCAACAACAGCCAGAGTAGCATCGAAAGCAAATGACATGAACAATAAAAGTAAGTGGAAAACAATGCACCCAGCATCAATGGCAGCAACAACTACAACAACAAAAACAATCGAAATCAATTACTGCGTATTGTTTTTTGTAAAGATTTTTTATAGACGTATCGTTTTTTATACTTTTTATCGCTCATTTATTTAAGAAACTCTTTTACATTATCTGCTATTGTTTTTATATCTCGCGTTTTTGTAGTTGTTGTTGTTTTTATAACATAACCATCACCAACACAGTGCTTATTGGCTTGCCTGCTTGGCTGTCTGTTCATTTGTTTGTTTTTATGTTGCCTACTTACCTGCGCATAAGCTCCATATGGTCCAAATTGATTAAAGACAAAGGGATTAAGTAAATTCATATGACCCGCCATTTGTTGCATACGTCGTATCTGTCGCTCCTTCTCAGTATCGGCAAATTTCACAACAAGACTGGAGGAAGCACCCTGCAGCGTGGCGACATTACATGGAAATAAAGTGCAAAGTAATAAAAAAAAGAGCAAAGATTAAAAATGTGCTGCATAAAAAAGAAATATGTATATTAGGGTGCATTACTCTCAATAAATATAAAAAAAAACATCGGTACCGTTTTTCCTTCGGAATTATAATTGTATATGTATTATATTTAAAGACATCCGCCAAAATATTTTCGACAAATGTTAAGATTTACGTGAGCTGGACCGATTTGAAAATAGCTCTAAAAATAGAGTTTATTTTTTTATTAATAAATTTTTATTTTTAAATAGTTTTTCCAAAAATTCACTTCAGAAGATAGAGTTATGCTTCATAGGTGTGTATAAAAACGTTTACAAATTTTAACAACGTTATCAAAGTAATATGATCTTTACAGGCATATAAATATAATAAATTTTATATATCCGGTGGAAAAATCGCAACTTTTTTTGTGAGACACCCTAATGTATAGATATGTATAAAAATATGTATGCTGAAAGAAAAGCTGAAAATAATTTATCGGGTAAAAAGTACAATCGAAATTAATAAAAGGCGCGCTTAAGCCGACTTTCACTTCAAAGGAAGAGTGCGCGCGGTGACAGCTCGCTGGCTGATTGCCGACTGGAAGTTCATGTTGGCAGTTGGGTTTTAATTTATATTAATTTAAGCAGACGGCGGTAGATGTTGAGTAATTAATTTTCGGACAGTGAAAAATTTATTTACCAGGATTCTGAAGAGATTTTTAAAAATTATTTTCAATTGAAGATTCTTTGAGTTGTATTATGCACCAGGACAAAACAAGAAAAATTCCTGCTAATATCGCTCTTTCTTCAGCTGAGAACGGTGTAAAAAGCTAATCGACCGCTCCGAGGAAGCATAATGTCGCAAGCACCTCAACTTGTATTAAAACATTCAATTTGGTTTTCCAAACTTTATTTGAAGAAATCAGTGTTAGCTTTTGAAGTTAACTGAAGCTTTCACTCTCCAAAGCTTCGAATGTACTGCTTGCAAGAAGCCTAAAACTGTGTGTTCACCAAATTAAATTCAAATGTCGTAAATTTTTATTGTACACATTGGCCCGTAGTTAAAGTCGAAAGTTTAAACCTCTTCTAGTTAAAATTAATCTTTAAGTTTAGAGCAGGCTTTAAGTTTTAGTCAGTTATAGACATGTTAGAGGCAGGTTTTTGCTAGATTGACACAAAACAGGGCCATTAATATAAAATGAAAAAAGTAACCAATCCGCAAATTTTGACAGGAAAACGTCTACTTAGAGTACGCTTTTAAGATTTTAAAACCTCGTCAACCTCATTTTAAATTTAAAATGCCGATTTAAAGTTAAAAGGTCTTTTAAGTTGACTATGACAGTGTTAAAAGAGTGTTTATCTTAATATACAGTTTTAAATGTTAAAACCTGCCTCTAACTTGTCTATAACTAAGGGCCATTTTATTTAAATAGCCCCAGCTTTCCTTAAAAGCAGAGGTGAGCAGATAGAGCTTTTATTCCGTGTGTGTGCATACGAGATGTATAGAAAGCTTTGTAAACGTAAATAATAAAAATTAAAAATTTTCAAGGACTTTTTTTTTGAGTTTAAGTCACCAAATACTGTAATAAATTATAGAGTTTTCATTAAAGGAGATAGAAATTAAAAGCCTTTACTTCTTATTTTGCTCCAATAAGGTGCTAAAGAGTATACAACTGGAAGTGGAATTAAGGATTGAAATAATTTATTTTCAAAAGCTTTATCATTTTAAACTAAAGCTTGTATTAGTTTTGGATGTGAAGCGAAGCTTTTTGATATATTTTGGAGCAAACATCCGTTACTCTTTGTCCAGTTTGGTTTCGATAGAATCCACGAGATTTAATTTTCATGAGCTCAAATAAGAATTCATGTGTAATTATGAAAAGCTTTTATTTTCAAAATGTTTTTTTTTTTATGAATCAAAGCAGTTCTTGCCAATCATTGCCCTGTGTCAATCTAAATTAGTCACTACCAAAATATATCCCTAAGTTACACAGAGTAAAAGCTCCCTCTAGGGCGATAAAAATTGTGCAAAAAGCTTAGAAGCTCAACGCACATGTTTATGGAGTGGACAAGTCTGAGTTAAAGGAATTAATTTCTTCTACAGAAAGGTTTTTCTTGCAAAAGTTATGTATGTACCATCAGCCTTGACTCGCAGGTGCTTTCTCCTGCATAAGCTTTTATTCTCATACGCTTTGAATAACATCCGAAATAATTTCTTTCGGGCAAATTTTTTTTTTAATCTGGAGAAACAAAAGCCTCGTGCCTAGAAAGCGCCTCATTTACTTTCTATTTAGTTTAAAATTTTTTTTCCACTAAAATTTCATAAAAATGTAACATTTCTGCAAATTTCTTTAAAACTTTAGAAATGTAATTAATTTCGAAGCAGTAAATACATTTTAAAAGCGAAAATCATGTGCGCTTAAGCTTTCACGCTAGTGTTACTTCAAAGAAATATTTGCCCAATAAATCAACTAAGCTCTCACACGCATGTAAACTTGTGCACATTCGTAAGAGATGTGTATTTGTTGCACAAATGCTTTATTGTTATTTGAAAAGCGTATATTAAATCCGCTTATAATTTTCTTTTACCTTCCGAAGAGCATAAATAAATAGTGAATGACAAGTAAAATGGTATACACATGTATGCATATAAGTATGTAACTGTACATAAGTTAGTGTGAGAGACACACTCAAACATATCTCGTCGTTTAAAGTACAAAACCGCGTATCAACAAAATGCAAAACCGCGTATCAGCAAAATGCAAAACCGCATATGTGAAGTTGTAGAAATTATTTTCTAGAGCGTAAAAACACTCATATTTCAAAACGGTTCTCTTTTTTATAAAGCAATCGCATTTCTGGCTAGTATATTTTTAATGGATAAGGATTGAGCCAAGAGCTTGTGTGAGCAAATCCAACTTTTGGCAGCCAATGTCAGTTACGCGGTTTTGCAGAATGACGATACTCGGTTTTGTACTTTAAACGACGATGTGTGCTTCTGTGAGTTTTTCTTTCAACAAATGCTTGTCATTGGCTGCTTGTGCCTTCACGTATGCAATAGAAAATGAGGAGGAAAGATGTGCATGAATCCTATGCGTGAGACAAGAATTCGTCAGGATGTGTGATATAACACACACGCACACATACTGAGTACTCAAAAGCACTTTCTTACATGTATGTATGTACATTTGTCTACAAGGGAAAGCGTGTATGCATTTGTATAGGCTTATAATCATACATACATACATACAACGCGCGAACATGAGCATTTCTGCCACTGGGTATGGCAACATGAAATATTATTATTTATTTTTAGGTAAATATCGAAATAATTGCATACAGAGTGCTTTTGTATTTTATATTTGTAAGCCGCTTATTTATGTGTGCATAAGATCACTCAGGCACACGCCTTCACACACACATAAGTGTATACATATGTATGCCCTGCAGAAAACAAATTATCAATTGATAAAAATTAACCAACTTGTAGTGCGGGATTTCTATAAAATATATAACTTGTAGTTAGCAAAAAAAGCTAACTTGAAACTAGTTGAAAAGTAATTCAGGAGTAATTCAGACGTAATCGGGAGATCTTTTCCTTTTAACAAGTTTCTATTTAAATATCCTCATACAAATTTTACTTTGAATACACTTTCTTTCTGCACTTCGCAAATACTTTTTCTAATTGAGGACAAATAAAAGGAAGATCGAAATTTTATATTATCATTTTGAAGTTACGTGTGACGGCAGAATATGTAAACAAAAATGAAATGTAATAATATAATGTAGATAAATAAAGAAGTAAAAAAAAAACAAAAAAAAATTGTTTTCCTTATGAATTTTTTATGCCCAAAAGTAGTTATATACAAGTTAGTTGACATATAATGCAGAGATAACCAGCCTTGACTACATCTAATGCAGAGGTAAATTGACTATTTCGCGGCCATCGCCATAGAAATATAGTTAGCTTTCTTCAATGAAAATATACGGATAATAGTGACCTTTAGTTCCTTCCTAATCAACTTCAAGTTAATTTATAGTTAGATACATTTCCCGCAGGGTGTATATAAGTGAGTATATGTATGCACAAATGTATGTAGCTAGCAGTAATTGCAATCATTCACATCAGAACTGACATTACCCTGCAAAAAATTGTGCGACTAATCTGTAAAGAGAGTATTCCGAGATTACTCTCAATCGGGTACAATTGGGCATTAATTAGTCCCAACTAGTCTCATACGGGTACTAATGGAGGTCAATTAGTCTCGACTCATCCCTTGTGGGTATAATTGGAGATCAATTAGTCCCCAACACATCTCTAACGGGTACTATTATCGATTTAATGATATGTACGCTCTTAGTCAATGAAATTTCATGTGCGGCGTTGGCACACAGAGAGTATTCGCCTAACAAAACTGAGCACCCCGGTTCGAATCTCAGCTGGCGCAAATTTTTATTTTTATTTTTTAAAAGTGACTAGTCGCTTCTTATACCCTTTCGGGTATAAATGTGAACAATTAGTCTCTTCATAGGACATGCCCAAACAAAAGCGATCAGTTCATTCCATATAAAGAGATCAAAAGTGGTTTTAGTCGCATGCTCCTTTGCGATTGCTCCCGGAGTCATCCCGGATTAGTCCCATTTTTCGCAGGGTACCAACTACCTCACACATACATATGTGTGTGCATATGCCTGCCGCTCTCCCCCTATACTATGCGCTATAGCCCAATCATGACACTGCCTGCTTATTCATGCTTTGAAATCGAATAGAAATACATAAATGATTACACAATGAATGTATTCAGCTTACATTCGTTAGCAGTTGAAATCATGGTTGCCGCTCGCCAAAATTTTTTTCTACCAAAACCTCTCAAGAAAAGTTACCAAAAGTTACCAAATCTTCACTACCAAAACCTTTACTTCTTCACTGAGAAAAAAATATACTGAATAAAACTGCTATATTTCATAACAAATGTGCACTGAGGGAAAAA